TTTCCGAAAATTACCGTTATATGGGAAGTGGGCGTGGTTACAGTCCGATGTCGCCAATTTTCAATACTAACCTACCTTGGATTAACGGAAACCTACATACCAAATTTCGTTGAGATATCTCAATTTTTGCTCGAGTTATCGTGTACACGGACAGACGGACGGACAGACAGACATGGCTTAATCGATTTCTCTATTCATTCTGAGCATTTATGTATACATTTGTCTATATCTATCTCGATTCGTTTTGGCTGTTACAAACAACCGTTATGTGAACAAAATTAATATACCCTTGTGCACAAGTGCGCTCGGGTATAAAAATCAGTGGAATATACAATAATAATATGGGTACCAAATGAAAGAGATGGGTACAATTGAAAAACGTTCAAGTTTTTTGTTTTACAATGACGAATAAGTATTTAAAATGCGCTCTTAATTCATTTTATTTTTTTAAGTTAATAAAATTACAGTACGAAATTCGAGGATGTGGTCATGTGTATATTAGTCCCTAATATATAATATTTTCAAAAATAAATATTGAAAATTTTCAAAAATTATCGAGGATAAAATTTAAAAAGGAAATTTTACATACCCATTCGTCATTATGTACCAAAACATTTTTTAATTCTACAGGATTTTATCTTTTATTTGATACTGACATTGTTATTCTACATTGCACTGAAATTTTTATATTTTTTTAAATTGATAATTTTTTAAAATTTTAATGTCCTTAAAAAAAAAGTCCTGACGTCAGAGTGAGAAATTAAGAACGCATTTTTACTGTCGCACGGTACATACATACATACATACATACATACATACAATACAATACATATATTCATTTATTCATAATTTTACTTTCAGGTATAGAGGGCAACAATCTACTCACCTGTTATTATTGACTGGTATAAGCATATCGAGTGTTACTAGAGTGGTGTTGATGCATACATCGGCAATGGTAAGTGTTGGACTGTTTCCAAAGAAGTTGCTTTTGTCAATAAAAGCTTCGAGGAAACTGTATGCATTGTCGCACAGATCCAATGTTATTTTGTTGAATTCGCCTTCGCCACCGTAAATGTTACGTCGCTGCAAATTTAAATAATGTGTTATTTAATTTAATGAGATCGTATTACAGCGTGATTTTCGAAACTACAACGATTATATATACGTAAAAGTATTTAAAAAATCTAAATACTTATTTCGAAAAGGTATTTTTCTGTTACCAAACGATATCTCCTCTCCTTTAATATGTCATTTTGAAGGGAAGGAGCTCACGTACATGCGAAAAATAGTCACATTGCTCAAATTTAGTTATTTATTAAAAAAAAAAATGAGTTTTAAAAAGCTGAAAGCACTTTATACGGACAATGAAGGGCCATATCTTCTTTAATACTCCATCTAATTGAATGATTAAAACACCATTTTGTAGGACAGCTTCACCGGTTGAGGTAAAAAATAAAAACCTTTTAGTAGGGTTGCCACCCGCTTTTTTTAAATATTCAACCCTCGCTATAAGGCCGATTACGAACCATTATAGGCTGTGGTTAAACACCAGCAACTGATGAAAACACTACGCGCATGTTTTTTAAGTGATAAAACGTTTTTTTTTTTTTTGTTTCAGCTCTTTTCATCAGTCGCTTATCACTCCAAAAAAAACATCCAATGTATGGTCAAAGTAGCTTTAAGGTACGCCATTGCGTATACGTGCTTTATTTTTGATGTACTACTTACTAGAAATGGGCGCGTGATTGATTTTGCCTGACTTTCACGCACACTCACGTCGATGATTTTGTAAATCACGCACACTCACGTTCTGTTGTATTTTTTAAATAGCGTTGACGCACGGCTAACACCACCTTATTAAATTCGACTTGTGTACGCCCTTCTTCTAGAATTCTGCCTGACACAGAAAAGGCTCTTTCAATAGTTGCTGAGCTAGCTGGTATGTTTAAAATTTTTCTTTGAAAGGCTTCTAAGATAAGTAAATTTTAGGCAAAAAACAAAATCCACTTCAATTCTCATACAAAAATTTAAGATTATCGCTAATTTCTTCATGGTCCAATGATCGGATTTAGAACAAATTAGTATGGGGCCACCTGTGAGGTAACAGCTTTCCTTTAATAAAAAAATTAAAATTATAGAAATCGGTTAACGTGGTCCAGAAGTTATGCGGTAACATACATTTAAAAAAAAAATATATTCCGACCACCTTCTCCTTTTTGCGAAGTCGTTTAAAAAGGAAAGTCTTTAGCTTTCTCCCAGGAACAATTTTTGTATCAAAAAGAAAATTTTCAAAAAAATTTCGCTTGCCTACAACTTTTTGGCGGTTAGGCCTCGATATGTGAAAATTACGTGAATGACGGAAAATCTAACTCACGCCAGCAAAAATTTCCGTCACTGACGATCACGCAAGTCACGGACGCGTAGAAAATCACATGTTTTGCCCATCTCTACTACTTACCACCATATCTTTGATTACTTGAAACAGTACTCCATTTTCGAAATGCAGCATATGATCGACGCGTGCACGTTTCTTCAAATCCTTAGGATATAAATTATCGTTCTTTCCATATTTTGATACCATGTATGCCATAATCGCATGGCTGTCGTACATGTGCGCATAAGTACATACAAAAAAAGAAAAAAAGAAAAAGTAAAAACAAGAAAAATTATTTTTTGGGGAAAAAGTGCCGAATCGCGTATGTACATTGTATGTATATCGTTATCTTAATTCACGAAGGCGCTAACCAAACTTTTTTATTTTACAGGAAAAGCAAAAAAAAATTAAAAAGAATATAAAAAACAGGTAGGGCTTTTTTAAAAGTGGCATGTAACTCCGTTTTTTTTTTTGGTACTAACACTTTACACTTTTAATTGAAGGTGTACTTTAATATCTCTTACCTAAATCTGTGAAAAACGTAGTTTTAAAAAAAAATGTTGGTTAGGGCCTTCGTGCATTAAGATAATGATATGTATGTATGCAAGCATATGTATTTATATTTATACACATGTACATACATGCATACATAAGTACATATGTACATATATCTTACCTGTCAATAAACACCTCCTTGTCGTCATCCACAAAAACAGGTATTTGATGCTGAGGATTTAGCTGGAAGCATTCCATATGAAATAATAAAGCCTTTATTATAAAACTAAAGTAATTTTAAAACTCACCAATAGAAAATCTGGCGTAAGATGTTGTTTTGCCGCAAAATCCACAAATCTTTTAAATAAAAATTATTAGTGTACGTATGCGTAATCATGAAATTTTTATATGCAAACAAACACATACATACATATCTATGTACGTATGTATGTGTTTATGCGTACTGCATAGCTTTCATAAGCATCCGCATTTTTCTCTTCTTTATGAAAACTTACTTCAAATCCAATTCAAGTCCAATTAATTCGGCTGTTAACATACAAGCCCGTGCCGGTGGGCTAAATAGCGCATAATACAAAATCGGTTTGGACATTACGCACTTTTCTTTTTTGAAGTTTTTTATGTACTGAAACACTTTCTAGAATCTAGATTCGCCAATATGAAAATATTTATTTGTCTTTCTTGATTTGTACCGCTTATTCTTGTATACTATTTAGCAGCAGCAATAAATAGAAAACAGCTGCTTCCTCCCTTAATGCTGCTATTGTGGTAACAAAAATAAAACAGCTTAAATAAAACAACAAACAAAGTGTGTGAAAAGTGAAAATCTCTCGATTTCTTTGCGGTAACAGTTTGTAAACCACTGTTAGAACTACGGTATTTATGATTCCAAACATAAAAAATATACACATATGTATATTGACTAGTTAAACGAGTTAAAATTCTATTGACTTTAAAAATTAAGCGACGAATTTCGGTTGATTACTTGAACTAAGTATTTAAAAGAATTCAATAATTACATACTTTTGCCATTTCTTTTGCTTGCTATTAAATTTTGGGTAAAACATAGGGAGTTTTTGAAGTATAGCATCTTTTGCGGGGCACGGTGGGGTATTTGACCCGGATTTCGTTGTAGTTGGTATCGGGAAAAAGTAGATAAAATAGGGCATCACTGGGTGAAAAAATGAATGTTCTGTTTTGAACGGTATCTTCACAGTACGCTTTACAAAATGCATACTTATTAATTGTTTCCCTGATTTGAAGTGATCGTAGTGAGCAGGATCGTAGAACATATGCTTACTCCACCAGCGAATTTCTGCAATGATTTCATTCGGTGACTTTTTTCCTCGGTATATCGATGGCTGAGTGGAAGATCGACCTATCTCGGCAGCCAGTTCGAAAACATTCTATCTCAAAAAACTTTTCAAGAACGCCCTATTTCAGAATTCGTTTGAAAAACGCCCTATCTCAGCTGCCGATTCAAAAACGCCCTATAACAGCATATTTTCAATACATTTTGAAGTGAGATAGGGCATTTTTGAACCGAATTTTGAGATAGGGTGTTTTTCAATAAAATTCTGAAATAGGGCGTTCTTGAAAAGTTTTTTGAGATAGAGCGTTTTCGAACTGGCAGCCGAGATAGGTCGATCTTCCACTCAGCCATCGATATGTAATTTTTTTTTAAATAATAATAAAAATACTAATAGACTGGCGCTTACACATATGTTAGTGTTCGGCCAAAAACTTCTCCTCCAATTTGTGGCGCGCACCTTGATGTTGTCACACAAAGCGGAGGGACTTACAGTTTTACGCCGATTCCGAACGGCGATTGTATTTTTATGTGAAGCTGTTTTTTTTTGCAATGTTGCTTGGGCTTGAACCCAGGACCTGCGGAGTTATTACCTCATTTTAAATGGTATAGGAACTTCATCATAGCGCTCGTCCTGCTCATTAGATTCGGTGGATAACTACCAAATGATGATGCACGTTGTACATTTTCAAGGACATATGGACGCCACTATTTTCAAATGATTAAAGCAATTTTGAAACAAAAACATCGTAGTTGTTAGAAAAATGTTTCTCCAAAATGCCTTGTATTACTTCTTTAATGGTAAGGTACTTAAACAAATAATTGTATACTGGGGTATATTGTTGACTAGGGGTGTACACGAAAAGAAGGTAGTAGCTATGTTCATTTACAAAGTAAATGCTATTAAAATATAGCTTAAAAAATTATTGCATATTTCAAGCGGGCTTTATTTAAAGATCTTGTCTGAGAATACCCCCAGTGAAATTTTCCGTCTTATAGGTCTTTTATCCTGAGTTGAAATCATTCCGTCCCAAAAATGTTGTGCTCTGTGTTATTTACAATTATTTATTTATTTGACATTCGAATAAATTTTGCCCAACTCTGTGCAAGAGTGAAGGTACAATAAGACCATTTTTACCGACAAAAATTTAGTAATTATTTACTAGTCTAAAGACTTATTTAGTGTTCTTCATAACACCAAGAATTTTTTTATGTGGTACAAGGGGTTTTCCTTTCTGGGTTAGTAGTTAGTATGAAAAGGAATGAATGAATGTATTTGTTGTCATAACAATAGTATTAATTAACATGAAACCCCTACGGCACACACTCTTACGCCTTCCCAATTTAATTTACTATATATCGAATAAGTAGTTCTCTTAAGTAAAGAGCCATTGCTCTCCTCTTTTTTTCATTTTGCCCACATTACGCGAAAATACTCTATTGTTTTGGAGCGTAGTGCGATCGTCCACAGCCACAATTGGCGTTATCAATCAGCTGCCACTGACAATGAATTTAGTAACGCGCTCGTAGGCTGGCTGGTCACAGCTGTACCAGCAGCACCACCAGCAATAATCGAAAATTAATTTTATCAAACTCAGAAGCAAATATGTCAGCACGTCCGATTTTATATTATGCGCTTTTTAGTCCCCCCTCCAGAGCTGCACTGCTGACATCGAAGTTAATTGGACTAAATGTTGAATTGAAGTGAGTGATAAAAAAAAAAAATACAGAAAACACGCGCGCGTAAACATATATATTTCTGTGTGCGTATGGAATATATAGAGTAGCTTATGTCGAAATGCTGGCTTTAGTATAATGCGGCATTTGCAGCATACGATTGCGAATGACTCACCGGCCCCAAGCCGTTGAAGAACTTTTGGCAAGTAAACGTGCGAGAAATAGTTCCGATACTATCAAGTCAATATTCTTATTAATTCTCATCAAAAAATTCCTTGTGGGTTAAAGAATAAATGGAATGCCGCATTATACTAAAGCCAGCTTCTCGACATTAGCTATTATTCCATACGAACACAGATTTATTTATTTATACATTCATATGTGTGTGTTCATATGTACAGTGACGAACAAAAGTATTGGCACAATGAATTTTTTGCAATATACATATGCAAAGTTTTTTATTCTAATTTATTTTCAACAATTTTAAAAATGGTAGAAGTGATAGATAGGTATTTTACTTCTACCATTTTTTCAAAATTATTGTTGCTTTTCCACAATAAATTTTCATTTAAAAAATGGCCTCGAGCTCATTATAAAATTGTTGAATATAATTGTTAAAAGGCCAAAAAATAACAACAAAAAAAACTAATTTATTTTCGATAATGTGTTCGTGTTACACCAAAAAATATAAAAATAAAATCACAAAAACTTTATGCAAAACTCAGGAAAATTCAATAAATTTGCATACTATTTTGCAACTGTCTGTTCATTTAATTTTTTAGTGAAAGGTATTTTTCATTTTCTCCATACAAAAAATAATTGTCGAACATACTTTTTATGATACTTTGTATGAAAGAATCTGCGTGCAAAAAATTGACAAAAATCAACACGCTTTTCTAGCAACTTCAAACTTGCACTTTGTTTTTTGCAATAAAATTGAACGGGCTACATGGATTTTTTCTAAAAAAAAAAAGTTGCAAATTAGTATGCGAATTTATTGAATTTTCCTGAATTTTGCACAAAGTTTAGTGATTTTATATTTACGTTTTTTTTTTTTGTGTAACATGAACTACTATATTTTTACAAAAAAATATCGAAAATAAATTAGAATAAAAAACTTAACATATATTGCGAAAATTTCACTATGCCAATACTTTTGTTCGTCACTATGTATATGTATGTTTATTCCGTTGTAAATATGTATGTGAATGGCATTGTGACCGTGCTGCTGAATAATACATATCGCACACCTTCTTCAAAAGAGGCACAACTCAAAATCAGATCCGGAAATATAACTGCTAGCAAATCGTACATATTCAACGCAATTAATAAAAAAAACAGGCTTATGCCTTAGTTCCCTAATTAGAGAATATGTTAAAGAAAAAAAATATTTGCAATAATCGGATAAAAATTCTACACTATGATTTATGCAAAAAATGTGCCAACGTTTTGTTTAGTTTAGTCTTTTGAACAAACCGTGCGATATTAGCAAGTGTTTTGCTTTTTTGTTTTATTTTGGTGCTTCATTTCATGGTCAAAGTCAAAAAAGGGCGTACGCTGGATGCATAAGCGAAAAGAATGAATTAATCGAAAACACTAAGTAAACCTGCTGCATCGATTCGATGAAAACGTAGATGTTATTGCCACTTTAGCAAGGTAATTTTAATAATTAGAAAATGTTTGGTTCTACTTAAAAAAAAAAATTATTTGCCAGATGTTACTTCAAAATAGGCGAAATGGACAAACTAAAGACATTGCATTTAAATACAGTGCAACAAGCCGAATTTCTTATGTAACGAATCAGTTTTTTGTTTACGTTTATCTACTAACGAAGACACTATTTTTAGGGCGCCTCTTGCTGGAATCGATGCTTTGACAAACTCCACCGATTCTGAATCATTTGATACACTTTTCTTACTCTCAAAATTACATTTACAATTGGCAAACTATGCTGCCGCTTTGAATTGTATGCTTAAGGCAACTCGTTTACGACCATATTACGCAGAATGCTTCCATTACCTTGGTAAAATATACTATGGCACAAAGGATATAGTGCGCTCACGAAAATGTTTTGAAAAATGTGTAAATTTAAACCCCATATGCGAGAGCGCAGTGAATAATTTAAGCGCTATTTATCAGCAACTAGGTGAAGAGGTATATTTTTGTCTAAGCTTGTTTATTTTTTGTACTTAAAATAAATTTTCTCCCATCAGGATTTCAACGTTGCATTGCTGCTTAATACACTCAAACATATGAAGTGTGAAGATTCTAAACATATACAGTACAAGCTCGGTTTGCATTATTTTCATGTTAATAAGTGGGATGATGTTAGTACTTATCGCATTACTTGGGATCTTTTTAATAGCTAAATAAAATATATATCACTTTACCAGGCCATACAGTCGTTCCGCACAGCTATTAAGCTCGATAACAGTTGCATGAATTATTGGGAATCTCTGGGTGACGCTTATGCAGAGCGTGGTTCTTATAACTCTGCTATACGAGTTTTCCAAAAAATACTCGAAATGAATCCAAGTAATATTTACGCTAAACTACAAATTGCATTGATTAAATCTGTAAGTAAAAGCGGTACAAATATTTTAATTTCATGAAGGGTGCGATAGTTTTCCTTAATTTCACACAGACTGTGCGAATGTATACCGAAGCTATAGCGGAATTCGATGACTTGCTACGCGGCCATCCCGATTATTTACCTGGTTTAAAGGGCGCTGCTGAGGCACATATTGGTCTGGCGAACAATTTAAAGTTGGAGCATCTATATGGACGTTGTAAGGACCATTTGCAGTTGGCTGTTAATCATTTGCAAAGGTATTCATTTAAAATTCAATAATCTAATTTACCAATAAACCTTTATTCTTTTAGCGCATTCTTGACTTTGAACGGTCAAAGTATGTTTTGGTTGTGGCGCCTAACCGCCAATGTGTTTGTCAAACAGCACTCATGCCGAACTCATTGGCATACCTGGAAGTATCAGGGAAACTGGCAAAGTTGGAAGATGAAACAGCGATTTGGCAAAGGAAGGACCTTTTCACATTAGCTGCAAGGTGTGTAAAACTGTGCGCCTTAATTTGTGCAGCTTGCAAATATTGGTATTAATATGTACATCTATTGTTTTAACAGATTTTACACCTGCGCCATTAAGTTAAAAGCAAACACATTTATTTGGTATGAATTCGCATTGTGTTGTTACTACTCCGCGATCTATATTCCCGATGAAGCAACTTCTCATTTGGCATTGGCTATCAAAGCCTCCAAATTGGCTGTAAATGAGCAAAGCGACCGTTGGCAAAATTGGAATTTGCTTGGAGTAATAAATTTGCATAAGGGTAAACATTACACCCAGAGAAAAATGATATGTTTAAACTTACCTTAATTTTTTAGAAATCAACCAATTGCCCTTAGCACAGCATTGTTTCATTCAGGCACTGACGCTTGAACGTAAATCTTATACAACTTGGACAAATCTGGGTGTGCTCTACTTAAAACTGAACGAAATAAAGCTTGCTAATCAGGCATTTCAGCGTGCTCAGCAGTCCAGTCCTATATATGGAAATGCGTGGATTGGACAAGCTATGATCGCCGAAAGTATTGGCGAAGAGGAGGAAGCTTTAGATCTTTTCAGACACTGCCAGCAGTTTGAATATCACCCCGAGTCCTCACTGGGATATGCGCACTGGGTTTGCATGGTGTTAACGGATGCGGAAAAGTGCAAAATACCACATTATCGACATGCTATCGATAGCATGTATGCTGACGTGGTGGCGTTGGATGCAATTAATTGGTAATGGTGAATATTAGAGTGGTATTAATTTTTAATTGTTTTTCAATTTAAATTATAATAAATGCTAACGCAGGCACGTTATAAACGAAGAAAAAGATGCAACTTCTGCCGCACTTTCCTTCCAAGGATTCTTAAGTTTACGGCAGCGACATTATCGTCCTGCAGTGAGAGCATACCTTCAAGCTGTGAAGTGCACAACACCTAGTGCTGAGCGCGATAAATTACTCACGAGCTTAGGTTATCTCTACTTGAAGTTAAATCAGCCCAATGATGCTATACAGATTTTCAATCGAGTAGTACATTCATCACTCAATGCCATTATTGGATTGGCTCTGGCTTTTGTGCGCGCTGGCCAACATCAGGAGGCATATGCAGTATATAACTCTGTATTAAAGAGTATGGCAGATATAACGAGGAAAAGGCGGGCATGATATTGGTAGCAATGGCCGCGATGGTGTATTCGTCGCAAGGCGAAGCAGATACCAAAACGATTCTATATCAATGGTGGGTGCTAATTTTTTGTTGTAATTTTTTTCTACTGGTTTTCCTGGCAACAAATTTTTATACCGTTTAACTTTTTAAGCATCTTGCTTAAGAACTCTCCCATACAGGCTCTTTATTCTGCCTGTGCCTGGGTATTCTGCATCAAGATAATCAACTAACAACAACTATTCTGGCGGAGTTGAAGAAGTACGAAAATAGCGAAGCTTATTCTGCGCATATTTCATATTTGACGGCACAATACTATGTAGCTATTGTAAGTATACAACAAAAAAAAATCTATTTGTTCAAGATGTATTTGAGTAAATTTATAGAAAGTTGAATATTGTAAATGAGGCTAATTTAAAATCGGATAGTATTCTAAAACCCTAAAGAAAATCACTGCTACCAGGGCTCAGTGCAGGATTCAAACGAATACGTAGATAGTTTGAAAGTGTAGGGTTCTTAAAACGCTAAATCTTTACTAAAATTTTGCATTTTTACAATGTTTTCAATCTCATTTATTTTACTATATTTAGAAACAGACTCGCAAAGGCCTAACATATTTACTATCACGTCTGCACGTTTTCCCAAGCTGTGCTGAATTGCGAAAAGTTTTGGCAAATTTTCTGTTGGATAATTTCAGCCATGCCTCACAATATCATTTGGCTACAAGCCAAATTGCTCTGAGCTCAATTACTTTATTGCATCGTAATAAAGCACAAAAGTAAGTACCTTCATTGCCAAATCATTTTTTTTTTATATCATAATTTTTATTATTTTAGGAGCGACTGCATTGAGGACTCCCAATTGTTACTGATTGCGAGTCGCGCATTAAGACCCGTAGAAAAACGCGCTCCCTAAAATTGATACAGCATGCTATACGTTTGCATCCTCAAAATCAGAATGCTTGGCTGGCGCTACAGGAAGTTCATTAATGGTTTTTGCTTGTAAAAAATTATGAAAACAGGTCTTGCTGATTTTGAATCAAATCGTTTTTAGCGACGAAGATTATGTAACTAAAAGCGTATTTTATGCAATGAAATACTGTCTGACATTAAAATCTACATATTTACAAATTTTCTTGCTTCGAAATGCCGACAGATTAAAAAGACGAAAGTCTTACTAGCTGATAAAAAGGTAAGCAATGAAATTGTGATTCAACATAGGATTTTTTTTGCAAAAGATAAAGCACAAAAACTCAAGAGTGGGATATAATTCGCTGGAAGCACTAATATGAATATTTGAAACATATTAAATATATCGAGCCTTAACCGCAAACATGACGTAAGCAACATTTTTTCAAATCATAATTTCGATACAGAATTGCTATTAGAGCTTCTAGGAGCATTTTTGCATGAAAAAGGATGTTTTGAATCTTTTGAACAAGCACATATTTTTCCTTTTAGATTTGATCTTACGCTTACTCTAACAGGCATCGGAGCGGTTTCGTTTTAATTTCATTCCGAAGATAAATGTTGAAATAGAAAAAGACGTTTTGTAGTAAGTTTTTTCCAGAAGGTCTTAGGCTGGAAAATCTACGTATGTACATATATTTTGGCTGGGTTGTGCTTTGAGGGATGTTAATCAAATTGCTAACAACTAAAGGGTTTGAAAAGTTGAAAAGTAATTCCAAATAACACCTAGCGAACTGCGGAATGAAATTGAATTCTAGGGCAGAAAATTAAAAGCAGCGTAGTAAAAAAAGAAATACAAGATATTGCCAAAATGAAAGGTAACGTGGGAATGAAAGATTAACTGATGAAAATGAAATTATAGAAAAAAGGTGGTGTTTTAATAATAATTTTCACAATTCACTATGGGAGTCTAGGATGCGAATCCGCATTATGGAAAAATTAAGCTGAAATTTCGGGCACCGAAAATTATAAAATATTCTCAGACCTTTTTATTAAATGTGGCAACAGATTATGTAAAACCGATTTGTATAGGAAGAGCTGCAAAAGCGAAAATAACAAGAAAAACATTATTTTGCAGCGGCCTCCCTATTTACCTTACCTAAATTTAATGGGGGAAAAAAATTTACTGGGCAATCTGTCCTTGAAAAGGACCTCGAATTAATTAAAAGGCTTCTACAACGGTCTTCCGAACCGTTTTCTTTCATATATTAGGTACTTAGTTTGCATTAGCTGGAATTACTCTATGTTCTCATCGCTCTGTAAAGTTGTTAAGCTCAAGTAAAGTTATTAAGCTTTGATGCGGATTGTGAAATTTGTTCGACGTTTCATGGCAGCTATAGGTTGGGAGACCAGTAGGAAGGAAATAAAAACGGACATTACGAACACATGTATTTTCACCTACTCCAGTTGCCATTACGAGGTACTATTAAAAAAAAAAAAACTAAAAATGAGCTCAGTAACATACTAATGCCCCTGACTCGAGCGCTTCGTTACGCATGTTTCGTCATATTATCCTCCAAAGAGTTTTGGAAGCGTAAATAAAGTTGTTGTGCGCCTTTTTCATTGAGCTCCTCATATTCGGGTAATTCCTCTCGCAACCGCTGCATCCAAGCGCAAATTTTCGGATACCTGCAGATTATATCAGATCAAAGTAATTATTTGAGATACGTATGAAGGTATGTAGGTCGGTGATGAATGTATATAAACTACCTACCGTCTCTCTTCCACCGTCACTAATTTGTGCAAAGTAATTAATGTGTATTTATAGAAATATCGGCTAAGTCAAATGTTCGCCTGCGACGTAGGTGTTTCTCGCTAGAAATTCCTCAAGAAAAGTATAGGCATATGCGATAGCTCAATACTTTTACGATGATAAGAAATTTCGCCACCATACATTATGCGCGCCTGTAACACAGTAAAATTTGGTTCGAATTCAATGTTGTGCAATTCCCTTCACTTTAATCTTACCACAAAATCTTTTATGACTTGAAAAAGTATACCATTTTCATAGTAGAGTCGCTCGTCAATTATGGCACGTTGAAGAAAATCTTTAGGATATAAATGCTCATGTTGACTCTGGCCATATTGA